AGAGAGAGAGAGAGAGAGAGAGAGAGAGAGAGAGAGAGAGAGAGAGAGAGAGACATCTTATCCCGTGTTCTTCACCTGGCTTTGAGATTCTATTGTTCTGTGCGTGTTTATCAAGTGCGGCTTTTGAGAAACAGCTGCCTGAGCCAATTGTGGCCCGTCCATTTGTGAGATTGCGCGTGCTTGTGTACTGCACTGGTGTGTGCGTTTGTGTCTTTGTGTACATGCGGGTGTGCGTGAGAGCTTTGCTCGCAACGAAAGGAAACAGTCTGAGTTGGTCGGTCCTAGCAGAACTGGTTCTCCCCGCAACCCTCCTCGACCACCTTCTCGCTTTCCAAGCCGCGTGGCTTGGAAACCAAAGACCACTTCAAGAAGGGGTTCCACGCTCCGTGGAAACAAAGAGGAACCTACCTTTTGCAGAGGATCCAGGAATTAGCCACTTTCTCCCCGTTCCACTGTGCCATTGACCAGAGTCACGCTCACTCCCCAACCGGGAAACGATTGGAAGGGGCTGGATTCATGTCAGGTTTTGTTTTGCGTTTGCAGCTGGTGAAGTTGTCAACGTGAAGGCACAGGTGAACGATGACCGAGGCAAAAGTGGTGTAAGGGCAGGGCTGGTCCCTCTAAAGACTGAAATTTTCAACGCGGCTGATCAGGAAAGAGAACGGGAGACGCAGAGAAACAGGTCTCCCATCCTGCTGCCACCTTGCGAGGGGGCCTGACCCCGTATTTTTGCAAAACGGTCATTCCCCAGCTGGATTGGAGCAGGCCCCAACTCTGGAAAACTTGTTCAGGGTTGAATTCCACTTTTTCAACTCAACCCCTGCTCCATCACAAGGGCAAGTGTGTGGCGGACCATGGGCCAGGACTTGCCCATCCTCTGTGGGCCCATGAAGACCTGTGGATGGGTGCCTCCCCCCACTGGGTGTCACCACATGTGTGTGGGACAGAGGAGAAGAAAGCACCAAGAGGGAACTTGGCTTAAGTATGGAGCTTCTAACAGCTGCTATCCAGCTAGGAAACGGGGGGGGGGGAGACCCCACCCCAATGAGCCACCTCTGCTAAGGGAAAGTGGAGTCACCTGGTCTCTGGTCAGCAAAATGACAACTTTTCTCAGACACATACACCAACGGGGACACACACACACACACACACACACCTAAGGGAGGCGTGAGAAACACTGGTTTTAGCTTACACTGTCTCCTAACACTCCATTTTCCTTTTTTTTCATCCAAAGGCTTTGGACAGCGGGGGAAAGCAGTGAATTGTGCAGATTAAGCCTGGTTTGGGACCGGGTGCAAAATCCAACCTTTAACATGCAAAAGCCGGTAAAAGTTTGCTGTTAAAGTAGCAATGCCGTGGGCTAAGCAACTGAGGGTTTTTTTT